GAAAGCTCACATTGCTGTCTGGTCTGCTTGGACCGTTGGATATGCTGAGATTGGTAGAAGCAAGGAGTCTTTTTCATTTTAGTTATCGTTTGTGTAAGATATTATATATTATGTTCTATAGAAAAAGACAGACAAACATATAGAAAATATGCAAGTCGCTAAGTACACATACTACCACATACAATAGATGCAATATGACATGTTCTTACTAAGAAAGACATCCTCAATGAATTTCTAAGTGAGTTAGGATCCATATTTCACATGCTTTTTAGTCAGCTAGGGCATGACACTAAAAAACATGCTATTTAGGTAGACAACACATTGTCAATCACATCACATATGACTCCTAGATGAGTATGGGATAGTGATATCACTGCATGTTTCTCATCCCATCCTTACCATCAGGTCCAAGTCCGACTTGATAACCCAATTCAAGCTCAACCATATTCGAGCTATGAGAATCACGATTTCTCCATACTGTCTCACCAAGATAGTCAGACACGTTCACCTAGGCGTAACCATGATGATCGAGGCCTTGATAGTTGCTCTAGTAATGGGCGGTAATAGCTTGAGATTACATGAGGCATAGGTGACTTGACGCCAGGATACGTTAACTGAATTCAAGTCAGTTCAGTCAAGTTGTTCCGATCAACTCGGTTGAACTACTCTTAGTTCAATTGAGTCGTCTGTGTACACAATCCCTTAGCAAACAACACTTGCTTACCTTAAATTATGTACCGAAACCCTCTTATTAGTTAAGCAATCATAATGTTTATCCAATTTTCATCAAAATCTCGGCTCAGGCATTTGAAACGATGCAACAATTGCATCAAAAAAATCTGATCAACTGACTCGCATCGAGTCAGAAGTGACTTGATCGAGTCAGGAGTCAGAATGATCTACAAATCAATGTGAACCAAAATTTTGACAATTCAGACAACATTTTGTTCTGACTCGGTCCGAGTCAGAAGTCTGTGAGGCCGAGTCTGTGCAGTTTTGGTCGCTCTTGATTTGTCGTCCTGACTCGGCCGAGTCAAGTCTTGACTCTGTCCAAGTTAGAAGCCTGGGAGACGCTTTTAGGCCATGAGATCTAGGGTTTCACCCCCGTTTCGATGCGCCATCAAGCCGTCTTCGACTCCCAACTCATCTATGCATCAAATAACAATCACAACATCATTAAATATGCATAGATCAGGCCTATCATGCAATTCTAACCATTAAAATTCATATAGGCATGCAACAAGCACAGCGATACATAGAGAACTAGGCTCTGATACCATTGTCGGGGTTCATTATGGGTTTCTAGCATGCGAACATATCGATTTAGGGTTTGTTTTACTAGGTTTCATGCAGCGGAAGGATAATCTAAACCTAGTCAAACGTCACACGCAACTAAACTCACAAAACCCGAAAGAACGTGTATATCACCGTTGGAATCGAAAACTTACCTCTTTCCTAAAGATCTGAAAGTAGAAATCGATCTGGGGTTGTTTTAATCACCAAAAGGTGAAGGTACAACTCCTCTATACGTATCCAGACAGGAAGGATTCCAAACGCTTTTGGAACTGATCTGCTAGGATCTGTGAAGTGAATAGGGTTTTCAAGACTTGGGATGAATCCCGAATACTAGAATCTCAAAAAGGTTTCTCTTGTGTTCTATGTCTGTCACGGAGTTCAGAAAGTCTCTCTTATGGTTGGGGCGGCGTCCCCTAACCTATTTATTAAGTCTGAAACCCTAATCTTCGAAAAAGGAAAATTTTCGCCGAGAGTTGACTCTATCTGAGTCAAGCCTTGACTCGACCGAGTCAGAACGAAGCCAAAGCCCACGACCTGTCTGAGTCAAGACTTGACTCTGTCTGAGTCAAGACATCAGCCTAAACCCAAAACACTTTCTACGCTTTGACTCGCATGTTGACTTAAGTGGAACTAACTCGGTCCGAGTTGACACTGACTCGGTCCGAGTCAGAGGCCTGAACCGTTTCTCGACATCCTGATTTATTCCGACAACCATTTGTTCGGCCAAATCCAAGTCTTCCTTTGTGATACTTCACATCTAAGTTCATCCCTAGTGGTGTGTGACCCTGTAGGTCCATTCGCAGGGGCATTAGCCTCGAGAACCATTCCCGATCTACAAGTCATGGTTAGCCTCTAGCAAGACGCCATGACCATCCACGTTGAATTGAGTTAGAGGTGATCTAACCAAGGCGTTAACAACTCAAATTCTGATCCTTTGTCTCACGATATCATATGTTGAACAAGGGCATGGTTTGAGCCACTTTTCAAGTTCATCTGCTTTCTTGTATTGGCAAATCGACTAATAAAATAGATACAACTTCATCTATAGCGTGGTCACGCATTTTTCATAGTCCGACTTCTACGAGGGACCCAACGATATCTCTCTCGTTAAGGAGGTGACAAGTCTCGTATTGCATGTCTACTATCTCCATATGATTCGTGGACGTATCTGATCAACGCCGTTATAATCATCCGGTTAAAGACGACGTTTGACGCAGCCAAGACACGCCACTCCTCATATCAGATACTCTTGATATCTCAGATCTGAGGATCCAAAAACGAACCGCTGTATGAGATTCAAGTCATGACTCTGTCCATGTGACAATCTCATACGGGTCATCCAGTCACTCGTTCCCAACAAGTACCCATGATTGTGATATGCATCCAATGCATCGATCACATCTCATGCTGGTCTTAATTAATCATTGTTCCCACAATGACAACTGACTAGGGAATTTAGAATCATTCTCTAATGATTCAAGGATACCGAAATATAACAAACATGTCAATCATATAACGGGAAGAGTAATGCATTCATAAACCAATGAAGCAAGACAAAGTCAAAATGTCTATCACGGATCATCCTAGAGCATTACAACCAACAGTCTCTATCTTTGGTCTCCTCTCTTACCTGCAGAAATGAAACCATAGGTCTTAAAGCCTCTTTCTTTTGCAATATTGATATCTCTCTCTTATAACCACAAGAACTCTAGTCTCATTGTATGTGCTTTACTATTGTCAACCATTCCTGCGAAACAACGCCAATCAACGGATTCGACTTCGGCTTTCACCGAAATGAACTTCATCAACTGCGACAAAGAGTAATCGACACAAACCCGAAGAAGGAAGCAGTAAAGAACCGGATCGTCAAAAGAGAAAGATATTTTTCTATCAAACCCTAATCTGGTTAGTTCTTTATAGATTTTAGGGTTTCTTTCTGAGTTAGATTTTAGGTTAATTTATGGCTTATTTGGCACTGATTGAGCATAGAAACAAAACACACACACACACTCACACTTACTCGGTATGTTTACGAATTCAGATTCCGATGTGGAATTTTACCGCTCAGCAAGGCTTTAGAACCTAGATTAAATTTACTAAATTTCAACTCTTTTACAACAATACAACAGAGTAAACATAGAGTTTAGACGCTTAGCTTTGAGATTTTCCTAGAACTCTATATCGATTTCAATCGCAGAACACTGCCGTCTGATTCTTTATGATTGGAATTGACCCTTCTCTTTTTCTTACCATTTACAGCCACAAGAGAAGACCTTTCTGTGTATTTTCACTGTGAAGAAATATTCTACAATCTTGTTCGTATGTATCTTCTGTACACAATATTCTATCTCCCTTTTATAGCCAAAGGTAAATACTCATATTCTTGTTTCTTGGTTTTTGATATGTTAGCAGTAGAAAACGCTCTCTTTATAAATCTCTTCACGTGAATCTTGTTCATGTCGCCACATAAGCATTTTTTTCAAGTCACTTTCAACACCAACTAATGTTTGACAATAGTTCTAATAATTCTAATATTATTTAATCAGACTCTGATACCATTTTAATATGGAAAATCGCATATAAATACCTGAACTTTTGCAAAATTTTTATATAAATATCCGAAATATAAAACTTCCATATAAATACCTGAACTTGTCAAAACTTTCACAAAAATATCCAAATTTTTAAAATTTTCCCAAATGAAATCAAAATCTGTTAACGACGTTTAATTTATAACGGGAATCGTAAAAAATTGAAGACTTAACATTCTTATACATTAAATACCGTTAACAAATATTGTTTAATTTAGAAGATTTTCAAAAGTTTGGGTATTTTTGTTAAAGTTTTGAAAAATTCAAGTATTTATACGGCAGTTTTATAGTTCATGTATTTTTCTGGAAATTTTACAAAAATTCAGATATTTATATATGATTTTCTCTTTTAATATTCAAAACCATTAATACAAATACATGAGAACCCATGATCCACTTGCATGAATGAGACAAAGAAAACAAGATGGTCTTGAAAAAAACACACAAATCAAATCAAATTTTATATAAAAATTAAATGAATATGTATTCCTTTAAATCTAATTAATCGGTTCCATACAAATATGATAATCAATGAAGAAAAAAAATGATGATAAATGAAGTAATCGTTTTTTTAATAATCTTTCCAGTTAAAATAAAATTAAAAAATAAACGAAAACACGATACAAATATAATTATTTTAAAATAGAAAATTTTGAATTAAAAAAAAAACCAATGAAAACGAAATCGAAATCGTAAATGTCGAGATCTTATGGCCAGTTATTTTGCCTTATCCATGCGGTTATTTTGCAAGCATTATAATTTCTACAAATTTTATTGGGTTGGTCGATTGGTTAATGGCCCATAATTATTGGGCCTAATTTTGAAAGCGCTAAAATTATGAACCGACTTAAAAGACATTTAACGGGTTCATATATATATATATATGTTAATATTACTTATAGGTGGGTGGGAATTCGGTTCCTTAATTCAATGGAGCTCATCGGAATCAATCAGATAAGGTAATTAAACTGAATAAATCGGAATCGAATTTAAATCGAAACAACCCAACCGAAATAAAACCAAACCGAAATTGTCTAATATGAATTTTTCCGGAACGAGAAAGTAACGGTTGTATCTGTTTTCTCGTGTGTATATATGCGACCAAAGCCACTAGTTTCCTTCCCTTTCGCCGCCCTCGAGCTTTGAGCTGAGCTGAGGGGCCCTTTTCTTCACAGCCATTCATTCTCCCAACACCTCTGCAGAGGTCGGTGGGCTTCCTTCAATCTCCGGATTTCCTGCAATTTCTGCTTCAATGGCTTGCAGAACGGCTGATTCTCTCTTCGTCTACTCGGTACACTCTTCAATAAAGGCTTCACCTTTGCAGTTTTTGCTTCGTACCCATCTTTTCCGCTTGAATTTTGCCCAATGATTCTGCTTGTTTCTCTGTTTTTGTTTTTCAGGGTCCGCAGCAATGGGTTCCTAGGGTTCGTAAGCTCCCTACCCGTGTTTCTCCAGGTACTATCTATATTCTCTAGTTTCGGTGGGAAGAAGACCCCATTTCCCCGTTTTTTTTTCCGCTGAATTTTGGGTGAAAGTGGAAATGGGATTTTGGATTTCGTGACTATGCTTATGGAGTTCCTGTTTAATGAGCTCCTTTTGTCGAACATGTCCTGTGAATTGTGTTTCAAGAACCTGACAATGTCAATCTGCAATTTGATTGGTACTGCGTCGATGCGTGATTGATTCTGTTTCATATGTGCATTTGTTGTTTCCGCTATGAATTTCGCATGATAAATAGTCTCTTTCGACCCGAGCCACTCAGGAGTTAGAATCATCACAATTCACAACCTCTTCTGAGTTTGTGTTTAGGAGTCATGCTCTGTCCTTGGAACAGTTCAAGTTTCGATAAAACAGTAACTAGAATGCTAGGGAGCAAGCATCTCGGATACCCTTTTCTGGATCTTTCTTGATGAGATGAATCAGTGGGAAATGCAGTTAAAATGTGGTAATGTCGAGATGATACAGGTATGTATGCTTTGAGGTCCACCGATCTTCTGTTAAAGGGAAGTAATCATCGAAGATGCGTGGCTCCTGTGAAAAGAACTACACGTATAAAATCTGTGGCGATTCCAGTTTCGCCTCCTTCAGCTGGCAGTGCTGAACACCGGAAACAATTAGCAGAAACCTATGGGTTCAAGCAGATTGGAGAAGATCTTCCTGATAATGTCACCTTAAGGGATATCATTGGTACACTTCCCAAGCAGGTATGCCTTTGCTTAGAGTTATGTTTTACCTTTCCACTGGAAGGTTGGTGTTCGATAGCTCTAGCATGTCATCTAAACCTGTTACAGACTTACAGTTCTTCTGCTTATCATTTCTCTGAAATACGATCTGATTTCAGGTGTTTGAGATTGATGAAGCGAAAGCATTGAAGTCGGTTTTGGTATCTGTGACTTCATATGCTTTAGGACTCTTCATGATTGCAAAGGCACCGTGGTATCTGCTTCCACTGGCTTGGGCATGGACAGGAACTGCAGTTACCGGGGTAGACTTGAGATCCTTCCCTTCTTCTGTGCCTTTGTTCTTGTCAATGACATTTTCTCTTGAAGAAAACCGTATAAGCTAAGCTGATAGTATTTGTCTTTCCTAGTTCTTTGTGATAGGCCATGATTGTGCACACAAATCGTTTTCAAAGAACAAATTGGTGGAAGACATTGTGGGGACTCTGGCCTTCCTACCGCTTATCTACCCGTATGAGCCATGGCGTTTCAAGCATGATCAGCATCACGCCAAAACCAACATGTATGTTTATTTGAACATGTCATTTTTTTTACCTTGCAAAGAGATGAATCCGAAAGGAACTATATAATTCTGCTTTATATTCTTGTTTTATATCTGTAGGTTGACCGAAGATACAGCTTGGCACCCTGTAAGGCAAGAGGAGTTCGACTCAAACCCACTTCTGCGAAAGGCTATCATATACGGATATGGCCCATTTCGTCCTTGGATGTCCATAGCTCATTGGTATATTAGAAAAATTCCCTCAGAACACTGTTTTTCGTCACCTTTCAGAATCAATTTTTGTTTTGTTTCTCCTTCTATATACATGTCTCTCAGAGTTATAAAACATCCTAATAGGTTGATGTGGCACTTCGATTTGAACAAGTTCAGACCGAGCGAGAAGAAAAGAGTGCAGATTAGTTTGGCTTGTGTTTTTGCATTCATGGCAATCGGATGGCCACTGATCGTCTACAAGGCTGGTGTATGGGGATGGATAAAGTTCTGGTTGATGCCATGGCTTGGTTATCACTTCTGGGTAACTTTCTAGTATCCAACATTTCTTCTTAATCTGTATAGCATCAATGGCCAAATGATGATCTTTCCTCTGCTCGGGAAAATTGTAGATGAGCACATTCACAATGGTTCATCATACTGCTCCTCACATCCCTTTCAAGCCATCGGAGGAGTGGAGTGCAGCTCAGGCCCAGCTTAGTGGGACCGTTCACTGTGACTATCCTAGTTGGTAATAACTCTGTTCTGTTCTGTCTGTTCAATCTCAGTCTGTTCTGTTCAATTGATTTTGGCTTTTTTTTGGTGTAATAACATTGTAAATGGTTAGAATAAGGTGTTTCCCACTTGAGAATACGAAATGAGTGCTTAATAAAAGATTTCCTTGAACACAAAGATCCTAAAATGGTGGTTGTCTATGGTAGACAACAACATATGATTTCTTCTTCATTGTATCTCCACTTACTAAATCTTTCTCGAGTGTTACAGGATCGAAATTCTCTGCCATGATATAAACGTGCACATCCCGCATCATGTTAGTCCAAGAATACCAAGCTACAATCTCCGTGCAGCCCATGAATCTATTCAAGAGAACTGGGGAAAGGTATAAAAACAGGTTTTACTGAAACGAACTTGAGCTATGACGAGAAGAATGGTTTGTCGTAAAAGTTCATAGTTTCATCTCTCTTTCCTTCCTCATGCTTGACCAACGCGGTCTCTTGTGCGGTGACTTGACAGTATACAAGCTTGGCTACATGGAACTGGCGCTTGATGAAGACGATAATGACGGTGTGCCATGTCTACAACAAAGAAGAAAACTACATCGCCTTTGATCGGTTAGCCCCTGAAGAGTCTCAGCCGATAAACTTCCTAAAGAGAGCGATGCCCGATCGAGCTGTCTGATCAGTGTTGATCTCAATGGCCTTCCCTTTTTTGCAGTCAGCCCTTAGGTAAAGCTCTTCATGCTTCTCCTCTCATGTCACTGGCTCTTTTATACATCCCTCATAAACTTTCCAAATCATATACAGACAGAAATCAAGAAATTTTTCTGAAAGAGTTTTGTCTTCTGTGTTCATCTGAAAAGCTGCAATAACATTCTTGAGCACAGCCATAGCATTTGAGATTGAAACAGTCATAAAGATGAAGCTTATTCAACGTTATAAGATTGGATGAAACTGAGTTGATTGTTACATCATTGTTGTTGTGACTGAGTTTCAGGGGAAGTGTTGGAAAATATGCCACAGTGGAGTGATGAAAAAGTGGAAGAAAGCCAAAAAAATTCCCTCCAAAACTAAAGCAAAGTTATTCTCAGACATCTTTATGGAAAGTGAAATAAGAGTTTAAAAAAAAACATGATCTGCCCAAAAGACACAGTAGTTGCAACCACTCACATGTCTAAAGCCCAAGTGAGAGAGAATCTTGAAACCTTAAAAAAAGCCAGACTGAGATTTCACACCACCATGGAAGCAGCTAAGCTAAGCTTTAACAAAAGCAAAGGTCAAAGAGGATATAAAGCAACAAAAAAAAACAGTTCTTACGCTGAGAAGTGTGAGAACATATTCCTGTAAGAAGAATTGGGGCAGCAAACCAGAATTCTGGTAATGAACACAACAGATTTCTGTATTGATCAGTGTAAGATGTTCCATTTATCCATTGTGAATGAATCATTTCTTAGTCACATAACCAACAAGGGACCGACCCATTTGTACATAATTCAGAATCTGAGCCTTGTCCTCTCTAATGCTATAGTATCTTGGCTAATGCTGTTTCATCCTATAATGTTCTAAGAACCCTAAGCATGAACAAAAGAACCAAACAAGCACACAAAACAGGGGAAATCCAGCAACCGTTTTCGAACCAAAATCAGATGATGGGAGGAGGCGGAGTTTCCCATACGTCGAACACATTCTCCTCGCTGTGCAATGCAAAGAGACGATCCCCTCCTATGGAGAAATCGCATATGGAGCCTCCATAGCTTCTTCTTAGCCTTGAAGTTAACACCCAGTCTGGTCCACAGAACACAGAGACGGAATCATTCATCGACGAGAAGAGCTGCCCCTCGTGCAATGCCAGTTTCGGGTAGCATGGTTCGTCGGGCATCTTGCTTTTCATCAGCCTGCTCCTCGAGCTCCACCTCACGCTCCCTCCATACATTCTCAGATCGATAAACCCTAAATCCTCGAACTCATTCACCACGCATATCGAATTGCTCTCTTCCATGGCTATGGCATCTCTCACCCTCTTCTCATCTACAGTCATCGGAGCTCCGATATCAGACCAGGACCAGACCATGTTCTTGTCCCTGAAATCCAACAAGCTTATGTAACAGTTGTCTTTCCTAGGGAACAATGTCGCCACCAGAAGACAGTTCTTGCCATTCAACCATTGCAGCTTATCTGCATCGCCGAGTGACCAACCGGGACTTTCGTAGAAGAAATCGACCTGTTTTCCAGTGACTTGATCCCAAACCCCGATTCCATACTCGTTGCTTCGTCCTTTGCAACTGGCGAAGATCTTATGATCAGGATTGAAACTCAGAGCTCCTGCGGTGTAACTCTTCACCTGATTATCATGAGAGACCTGAAACTTATACCGGAGGTCGCCGGAGGACGAGCTGAACAGTCCCATCCCGCCGTCTCCGCGGCCTAATCTCTCGCAGGCGGAGAGGACGATGTTGTCGGGATCGATCCAACCCATGTCGTTAACTCTCTGGTAATCGAGGTTTATCGGAGGGTGTTCCGCGAGCATCCAGTCGAACACGTGGACGACACTCCCGTGCGCGACGCAGCAGCCGCCGTCGGGACCTGCCCTGATCGCCGTCCCATCGCCGGGAGCGATTCCGTTGACAGAGCGGGAGAGGCGGAGCCGGTTCCCATCGAAAGGGCCCCACTTGGCGGTTCGGACATGGTCAATGAGACCGTAGAAAAGAGCTTCTCTGTACAGGAGACGCTCCGGCATGTTGGGAGGGATGTTGAGGTCTCCTGTCCGGAGGAGATCGAGGAGGACGGCGAAACAATCTGGGTTCCGGTCGATGAAGAGTTCCTGCGTCGGAATTTCAGGCTGTAACAGATTCCACTCGTCATCGAACAATGCGCCGAAGAAGGAATCGCGTCCTGCGTTCGCGATCGTCGTCGCCGTCGTTTCGAAGGCTCTGCCTCCGACATTGAATCTGATCCTGTCTTTTTGGACACCCATCATCGGGTAAAACAGAGAAATTGTCGGGAATTTCGTTTGATTCAGAAAGGTGCGGGATTTGAGAGAGTACGGAGGGTGTTTGGGGAGAAGGAAAATACGCAGAACTTTTTTCCGGGAAAAGCTGAGGAGAATTTATCTGTTTTCCCGGATAAGTCCGAAAGGAATGACAGCATCAGCTACTAGATTTTCCTGTCCATAACAAGACAAGAAACCATGGAACTGATCAACACAGAGAGACGGGAGGAGAGAGCCGCAGACGAAAACTCGATCAATGGGAGACAAAACCGAAATTTGATCGAATACGAGGAGATTTGAGTTCTGGGCACGGGCAAAAACACTGATTTTGATTCAATGATAATGGAATATATTGAATAATCCCTTCTAAAATTGAAAATTCTCAGAGGAGGAAGAAATCGAATTGACTCTCTCTCTCTGCTTTGTCTCTTTGATTTCCTTCATTCGGTTGAGACACAGTTCCTTCATTTATACGTATAAAATCCAAGTGGAGTAAAGGTAGGTCCCAGCTAAGGCTTTTCTACTCCATCTTCGTTTTTAAGCCGTTGGATCATAGTTTCTGGCGGATATCATGGATGATCCAACGGTTGTGATTTCGTGAAATACGTGATGCTTAGAGAGAACAATCACAGGAGATCATCTTCCTTGATATTTATTATTTTATATCATTAGATTTTTTTACTATATATCAGAGATGAGATTTAATTTAAAATCCGCATAACATAAAGTGAGGCTAAGGCTCTTATCTCGTAATTATTGACTTTTAAAAGACAAGTTTGAACTGAAATATGTTAAGACGGAACTTTCCGAATATTTTAATCGAATTCGAAATAAATTGTGCAAATTAGTGGAACCCTTCAAATCATATAGTATAATACCCGATATATATATATATATATTTATTTATTTATACACACATGACACATCACTTTCTTGCATTTCTTTATTCTTTAGGTTTTATATTATTTGTTGTTGCTTTCTTTTATCCAAATGTCAATATCGACGTACCAAAAAATTAGCAACAAAATCGGAGATAGTGATTAAAAAAATTATGTGAAATTCTTATTTCCAGCATAATAAAGTTAAAAAAATCGAAAAAGATAAATATTTATTGATAATTAAGTAAAAAAAACAGATTAACAAAAACTACATCGCCATGTAATTTAATCTTTAAACTCGTACATGATGATCACATCCTAAAAACGTATGAAGATTTTAAATCAAAGCGATTATAAGTTTTTGAAAAGAGCCTAAAGAATTTAAGCAAAATAAAGTACACGAGGAAAAAAATCTCATTACATAAAAAAGTACCATAATAATATGTAGTTTTCATTGAAAAATATTCTTTTAACGCATATCCACCAATTTATTTAATGGTTTGATTTTAAAAATTGTTATAATTTTCGGAAGGAAATATTTAGTTTTCATTGAATAATATTCTTTTAAAGCATATCTAGTAATTTAATTAATAGTTTAACTTTAAAAATTGTTATAATTTTGGGAAGGGAATTATCATTATATAGTTAACACGTGTCATTCTAAACTTATAATTATTCAAACCTTCAACTAAATAGAAATTCGAATAGTACTTTAATCATATATTCATCTTTTTAAGAAAAAATCTAAAAAAAATTATTGAACTTTGAGATGATATTAATACTGATTTTTTTTTTAAACTTTCAAATAAATATGAATTCACCGATTTTGATAAAAAATATTTAACTTTTAAATTTTAAATAAAAATATTATTGACGATAAAATGACGTTAAAAATGTTAACAGGTAATCTGACGTAGTGGATGACTTGGTGAAAACTCAACACCATGTCAAATCATTCATTAATATTTTTAATATTGTTTACCTATATCAGGTTTTTATAAAAAAAATCAGTATTTTTTTTGTCAAAATTGATCAATTAATATTTATTTTAAAAATTCGAAAAATAACCCCTATCTCAAAATTCATTAATTTTTTTAGAAATTTCTCTTTTTTTTAAACAATTTTAGGTTGCGCCATATCTGACTTAACCAATAATGTAACTTATGTAATCAAATATGTATAAATGTTTCTAATTATATTAACTTTTATAAAAATACATATATGTATTCATGTATTTTTTTTCTCACCAAATAAATATATTATTGTTATAAAAAAAGCATAGTTCAATTCCATGGTGGGTTATGCCATGCGGGTCGTGGACGGCACACCAAAGTCGTCGTCGTCTTCTTCGTGTTTCGTTCCAAAACATGATTGATTGGTTGCATATTTATTATATAATATTTTATAATTAAATTCTCTAACCATAAGAGACTAAGAGTTGTCCAATAATTCCCAGTAAACTTTTTTTTTTATTTGTTCATACTTCCAAGGCACTCTTAATCTCAATAATCGATACTCGAAACTCTATATCATTTTATAATATTATTAGATTAAAAAATAATTGATATAATTAAGACAATTAATGTAGTTATAACACTCCTTTGGCTTCAAAATAGTCTTCAATATTTCTTAGATGTTTTGCGAATATTTGAAGAATATTTTTATCAATTATTTTATGTAATTGCAAATATTTGAAGAATAAATATTTGCAATTATATAAATATTTTTACCAAATGTGTTTTGAGTAATGATTGTATTTGATAGTAATCTAACGTAGTATATATTTCTTTGTACATTTTAAATCAAATTATATAAAGAAAAAAAAATTCTGAAATTGGGCAATGTATTTTTCGTTATTATAATTGTCAATAGTATTATTATAATTACGATTTATGACAAATCAATGAAATAATTAGTGGTAGTTGGTAGAAAATCACAATGGTTGTAGGGGTCAATAATAATATACATATAGCTTTCCTCAAAGCTTACATTACGTGTGTTAGGACTTAGGAGATGAAAATTAATAAAATAGTCATATAATCTATTGCCTTTTTCATAATTATTTAAGTCAGTGAAAGTGAATATGTAAATACATATAAAGTCAAATATATTCCTATCTGCGACATAGAAATTATACATTTTTTAAATTTGGCATAGCTTATGAATTTGTTTGTTGTATATATCCTCTAGTTGGCCTCTTAAAAAAATATTTAGTTGCTTGCTCTATTTTATTGAATTATAATATGAATTCTTAAATGGATATAACAGTTTTAAGATTAATAAACCAAACCAAATAATTCGATCAAATCTTTCAAAGATAGATTTTTTTCCCTCAAATTTTGAAATTGGAATATCAATACTTCGAATCGGAGGTTTTAACTGATTATTTTGAACATCGTTTTCAATATCAGAATTTTTTTTATAAAAAATCTATTATTATAATATTTTTCTAATAAAACATTAATATCCTACATTATATGAAGATCATATATCAAAAATAGGTATATACTGCTCACCTTATGTATTTGAACCTAATAACAAACAAGTAAAAAACTAACAGACAAGTTGATACAACAATCAATCATGGACGAAATAACGTAAGATCAAAGTTTATTTGGATTTTAATCTCGAAGGAATTAATTTTTGAAAAAATCATCTCGTTTTTTTAATATTTAATTTAATTTTAGTTTAGTTGGTTAGATTGTCGTGTTCTTTTAGTTGTGTTGTAAGTTATCTCCAAACCACTTTGATCACTTTTGTTGCCTTTTTCGGGTATATTATTATTAGGTCATTCTGCTCATGCGCCTCTCCATGATTCATTTTTATAAACAATTCTCAAATCCTATATTTTTATACAATATTGAAAAAAATCCAAATATATAAAACTCGACAGCAGATATATATATATATATATATTTTATAAATAATAACAGAAATGAAATATTTTAATAAGCTAAAACATCAGGAATTTAAAAATCGGATCGCATTATAAATATGTAACACAGGTAACATTTCAAAAAAATAGTTTCTAATTATTTGTGTTGATTTTTGTTCTTACGTTTTTGTTGACAGCGAAATGCTTTTCACTCTATCCTTACTTTTTTATGGATAATTTAAACTTTGAATTTCTTTATCTTCGGTGATTTTGAAGTTTCTTAATTTCGAATAAAAATGACATATTATTCATCAAGTCTCTAGCCCAAAATCTCTATAATGATCATATATATGAAGAAAACAAATACCCTACAATAGACGATTGAGGGTTTGTCTTGATACTATCAAATTATTTAGGAACCAGAGCCAAAATTAATTTGAAATTTTTTTTGTAACCAAATTCAAATAAAATAGATAAAAATAGTAAATGGATTCAATTAATAACATGCATGAAGTCACGTGCATATCCACAGCGAAGCTGCGACTCATTTATTACCACAGCTCTCGACGCCTCGTTCCAATAACTGCGTTTAATTTAAAACGGTCCACTCATCTATGTGAAATAAAAAGCCCGAACTTACATTCGTTTATTGGGCCTTAGTCCCAAATATTTGAGCCCATTGGATGATGATATCAAATTCTGTTTTACCAATTATTATTATTAGCGAGTTTAACAAAATATAAATTTTTTAAATTTGGTAAATAAATAAATAAACTTTTAATATTGTATAAAAATATACTAATCTTATAAATCCACATAAATTTGTATAAAAATATATAAAATTTAAAATTTTTCGCATACGACCACATAAAAAACCAATTGAATTTAGTGTTTTTTTATTTATACGAATTTTTTTAAAATTTATGTATTTATTTTTCAAATGTTAAAACCTTATATTTTTTTTGGCAATATTCTCTAACAATTATGCGTGGATATTTTGGATATTTTTTTTTAATTCAAATTGGGTTCGATTTAATTTAGTTTTAGAAAACTTATTACTAAAAAGTTTTTTTATGGTATATGCAATGTTTGTATGACATTATGGAGTGAAGCCACCGTAAATGTACAATATCCATTCCAATGCTAAGGTTGACAAAAGTAGTGTGGCGAAAATCTTTTTCAATTCCTACTTGGTCCCAAAATTTAATTTAACATATCATTAAGATTGTATTTGTATCTACATTTTTAGAAAACAGAATATGTTTATTTAATTTAATGTATTCTTTTTTATAAATATACTTGTAACATAGTATTTTTAAAAAATTATTAGAATATAAAAAACAGATGATATTGTCCACTCTAAGATTTATTAGAAATCTATAGATTTACAAGTTAATACCTTTATTCGATCAATAGTGAAGAACGCAGGACTCAGTAACTGTACAAGAGAAATCCAACGATTAGAAACACTAATCTTTAAAAATTGAAAAAGAAAATAATTTGACGTCGAATTTTACAAAAAAAAAAACTAAAGATTTGGTATTTGGATCTAATTTAATATACATGACAAATATCAGCTATAAATTATAACTGGAGACAAAAAGTTATGATGAATTTATATATCCATTATTAATTCAGATAGGAAGAAATAGATTAAATAAAAATAACTGTTTAAAAGTAGAAAAATATATAATTAATAAAAAAATATCCATTGGCATTATGGAATTTGTTTTGCTCGTTAGGATGCTTATATATGCAACTTATAGAAATAATTCCCAAATTTAATTTTTTAAGGTTAATTAAAGTGTTTATTCCAAATCAGAAACTAAACAAATGTTGATGGACATATCATATTGTTTAATCAAGGGACATGTGAAAGTGAAAGAGGAGAGGGGAGAAGTTTGAAAATAATAATATAACTTTATTATCACACAAGACATATGCTCCGTACAATAATAAATTTGAAATACATGGAATAAATTCCACCGCAATTATTTTTGACAATGATCTATTTATTTAATTAATTATTAGAAAATAAAAAAACTGTATTTTTTAATTTTGACAAAAAAATACTTAATTTTATTTTTTATCAAATAAATATTAAATTTTTTAAACAAATCTAAGAAAACACTGATTTTTTAAAATGATCCAAAAAATATATGTTTTGTTCTGTCATTATCACACAAACACTGAACTATTTTCATGATCCAAAAACTATATGAACTTTCTTCGATTGTTAAAAAAAACTAAGTAAAATAATCTGAGTATTTGAATTTTTTTGTATCACGTCAGTCATTTTGACAATCGTAAAAGAGTTAAGTATTTGTTTTGTTAAACTTAAAAAGTTTAATATTTATTTGATAAAATAAAAAAATTTAGTGTTTTTTTTTGGTCAAATTTGAAATATCAGTGTTTTTTTTTTGAATTTTTTCATTAATATAGGTTTCTTTAATCCACGTACTTAAAAAATCGAATGGAACAAAATTAAAGATACCGAATAGTTCAATTGACAGGTTGGCGATTTTCGATTAGAAATTTAGTTTCATACCGAATCAATTAATTATATTTTGGTTTGGTTCGATGTTATAGTAAAAAATCGAATGGTATAAAATTAAAGATACCGAATAGTTCAATTGGTTCGGTTCAGAAAATACTGAACGGTGTTTCGGTATTTTTTATTTTTTTAGTTAAAAATATTAGTATTTATTAATGATATTAAAATACAAATTAAGTGTTTTGATGAAATAAAGAATAGTATTTATTGAGTTTCACAAAAATCATTAACATTTTATTAATTTATTTGTTTTTCATTATGTTAAAATTTTCAAAATAAACTCAAACCATGTCTAATCATTTCGAACTGTCCTGTAAAAACTTTGAACCATCCCGAACTATTATGATTTTGGTCTTTATTCGTTATAAATTTAATAAAATCGTAATGAACCGATATCAATACCGAATAATATACGGTATTAATTTGATATAAATTTTATAATATTAAATAAATCGTTCTCAAATTGAATCTAATAAAATTTTAAACCGAATTCCAAAACGTACACATTTTCGTTGGTATAATGTAATGATAGATGAAACAAATCTTCACAAAACAAAATACTAAAAACAATCTTTAATTTTCTTATACATTTAACTACAGGCGGATCCAATCAATCTATTTTATTTATTTTTCTTAAAAAATTATAGTTTATCTTTATAAGGATAACAAATAAATTATAACTTTTATTAACTTATCTGCTTCAATTATAACTTTTTAATTTATTTATTTGTAATAGTTTGAACAATGGTGATGGAAACATTAATAAAAATAAAAACTTTTTTAATGATAATGAAACTAAATAAATCAATAAATATTATATGCGTTTTGGATATATTTGTAAAATATGAAGATTTATTCAAATTTATGATAGTTGAACTTTTAAATCATATAATTTTAGGAAGTTAAGAATTTCTTGGATTCTTTTAGTATACTTTGAATTAGATAACACAATTTCCTTAATCTCCATTTTTTTATATATATTTTGTACTCTTTTTTTTTTGCTTATACTCATATTTTTGTTGGAATATTATAATTTGATATTATATTTTTTTGTTGGAATGTTACATTTTTATATTCATCTAAATATAGGGTATCTCAATTTATTTGTAGCAGTTAAAGTCTGTGAAAGGGCTGCAGATTTGCAAAGAAACTCGTAAGCACTAATTAATTCAGGGACTAAATTACTAGTGGCATATTTCGCTTATAATCTCAATAGGATATATGTTTTAATTAATAATATAAAAAAACTAATTAATTATTTTAAATAATATTAACAACCAAAAGGGAATCTTATATATCAGGACGGGCCGACGGGGTCAAATGTGCAGTGGTAACAAACGGTGACCGGACGGAACTCGTCGATGATTGATGTGACGGACGGAGATTATTAGGGCATCAGGACTAACGGAAAAATAACGGCGTTTGTTTAGAGAGAGAAAAAGCAACTGTGTGGTCAATCTCGGTCAAAGACATTTATACCTCTTCGCTTTAAAGCAGAGGCAGCATTAAAACGCAGCGTTTTTGGACCCGGAGAGATCAGTCGGTCGGAAAGCGGCTAACTTTTGTCTTGCATCCCCACAAACTTGTTCGTTACTTTACTCTCCCCGACAATCCCACGAGGGAGAAGAACCTGGAATCGGCCATGTCGGAGACTGAGAGCGATGGCGCTGAACTTGTCTCGGCGGAGGCGGCGGAGAAGGGTCTACCGGATTCGACGAGGAGCGACGGAGTGGAACCGGGGAAGGAGTTGGGAGGCGGTGGAGGACTGAGTCAACTCGACGAGAGGGATCGAGTCGGTGAGTTCCGTGTTCCTGATACGGACGTGGAAGCTTTGGGTGGAGGGGAGGAGAAACGTGAAACCCTAGCGAAGGATCAAGTCGAGGGTACGTGTTGATGGTGGAAATTCGGAAACTTTGTTGATCCATTCGGGTTTTTATTGGATATTTTTTGGGTTGCTTACTAGGTGTTCGACAAAATTCGGATGTGGAGTCAAACGGTGAAGAGGACAGAGCACTGAAGGTGAGATGCTGGGGAGTAAAATTCTTTTGAGTGGACTGTGAATTTCCAGTGAATACAGCTGAATTTCTTACACTGTGGATTTAGTTTCTTGTTGCCAGTAATAACGATTGTATCCAAAATTGGAAAATTATGACCGAAGTCTACTGAATTCACTTCGGTATGATCCATCTTAAGGGAATCTGACCAAGGGTTTAGATTCAGATTGTGTTATGATGATCACTTCCTTTCCTTTAGCGTTGAGAACTGAGATTATATACGCATACCTTATATGAGTCGGTAATATTCCCAGAAGATGGATTTGGGAGCATATCTTTAGAAAAGAGCTGTTTTTAGGTGTATCAGTGTTCAATAACTTCAATTATACAAGTATAACCAAGTGCATAACCGGTTGAGCAGTAAAGTGAGGCGGGAATTTCTGTTGTCAAGTCACGGTTTCATCTCCTGTTTTATATGTAGGATAACAACCGAGTGATATTCTAACGTTTTCTGTGACCATTGGCAGGAGACTGAAGGTGGGAAGGAAGTTGTTTTAAGCGGGACTGTTCCGGTGGATCAAGTGGCAGTAGAAAACCATGAAAGCGGGAAGGAAGCAGTGATAAACGCAATTGTTCCGGTGGATGAAGTGGCGGTAGAAAATCATGGGGTGGAGCCCTCTCCTTGTCCGACTCCATGGTCGGATCCACCAACTGCTTCTGCTACAAAAGAGCAAAGATCTCTATCACGGGTAGTTGAAGGCATGTCTGTTTCTCCGGCTGTGAGGACGCCCACTCGTGATGGTTACAACTGGAGAAAGTATGGACAGAAACAGGTCAAGAGTCCCAAAGGTTCACGGAGCTACTATAGGTGTACCTATTCCGATTGTTGTGCTAAGAAGATCGAATGCTCTAATGATTCCGGCAATGTGATAGAGATTGTTAACAAAGGTTCACATAGTCATGACCCTCCACGGAAGAACAACTACTCCGTCAGAGAAAGCAGAGTTGTATCATCTATTCAACCTGTTTCAGTGGACCATGCAACAGCAGCAGCAGAAGGAGAGTCAGTAAAACTGCTTTGTTACACTGATCCATCTATTTCGGCCAAAGAAAATATCGGTGAACCGAACACAACTCCCGAAAGGAAGAGACTGAGTTCGTCTGTATCTGATGGGAATGGCGAGATTGAAGCTAAGAAGAACCATCTAGAGGAACCAGATGCAAAACGAAGGCAAGTTTCGCCCCGTAATCTTCTGTAGTGTGTTTGAAACCACTGCTATTGCGATGAAATTAACGAACTTTCCTTATCGTGGTCAGGTTGAAAAAGGATAACAACACATCATGTTTGGATTTTGTCTCGAAATCCGAGAAGAAACATAAATTTGTGGTACATGCAGCTGGAGATGTGGGGGTCTCTGGCGATGGATACAGATGGCGGAAATACGGGCAGAAGATGGTGAAGGGAAACCCTAATCCCAGGTGCATACATACTCCTTGAAACCCTAATGCAGCAGGCAATGGCTTACAAAGGATGATAGAGCAGTGCCCATGTCATTTTCCCGCTTCCTCTGTGAGTCTGTCCTAAAGTTATGGTTTTGTGAATCTTCCTCCATTTCAGGAACTATTACAGGTGCACCTCTGCAGGGTGTCCTGTCCGAAAACACATAGAGACAGCAGTGGATAACACAACTGCTGTAATAATAACATACAAAGGAGTGCATAACCATGACATGCCGGTGCCAAAGAAGCGTCACGGCCTGCCCAGTGCCACGCTCGTGGCTGCAGCTGCTCCAACGTCAATGAACAGCTCGCTGGCTCAAGCAGGAGAACCCGCAAATCCTCCGCGGGTAGCTTCGCCGAGCCAATGCTCGGGCGGGAGGGAAAGTGAAATGAGCAACGAAGCCAATGAGAAGGCCATGGAATCTGCTCGGACATTGCTGAGCATCGGGTTTGAGATCAAGCAGTGCTGAGGTTATTACCAGACAAGATTTAGCAAAGTTCTTGTTATATAGTAATAATAATAATTATAATAATCTCGGAGATATTGATTTCTATTAGATTATATGAGGTTTGTCTTTTGATTTGTTTCATTAGCTTCTTGATCTTTGTATCTTCCCAGAGATTTGGGGGTATATGTATATTTGGTGATGGGTCACCATAATTAGCTATATGAGGCCTTGTTAGGTGCTGATAACATTTGAGTACTCTTTTCTATGAAATAATATTATAAATAATAGTAATTATTATTATTAGTCGCTTGTATTTATAATTTTTGTCGTTTTTATAATATGCAAATATTTTTTTCTATCGGTATAATTGAGTTTAAAAACTAGAATTAAAACACCTACAAATATATAATATTTTTATATACGTCAATACCAAATAAATTGTTCAATTAAAATTTGTCAACTTAACACCTCAACTTTTAAAATTGAGGTAATTCCCAATTAAGATTACGTATTTGGGGCATTGAGAGGGCAAAATAACAAAAATAATCTTAAAAATGACAAGGGCAATAACCACAACCTTAGAATCTTTAGGATTTCTCAAAAACCCAACATTTTTGAAAAAAATACGGAAATACCAGAACAACTAGTATGACCAAATTTTTTTGGTATGACTAGTTTAACCAGACTGTCTTTATGACCAATTTTACTAAATTTCTATTAGTCTGACGATTTACATTTGGTATCAGAGCAAGACAACGATTATGGATAACGAAAAAATTGATTTTTCGAAAGGATTACCATTAATATTAACAAATGAAGATGAATGTTATCTTGGATTTTCTTATAAGGGAAAAGTGATAACAATACCTAAGAATCTTCATAATCAAAGCCGATATTATATTGGTACCATCTTTGATGATGATACTAATCATAATCTCGAAAATAAAATAAAAAAAATAGGTTTTACCCTAAATAATATTGTTGAAATGATTTCTTATAGTTACATACATCAAAATCCAGAAAATCACGAAGAATTAAAAAGAAATATAGAAAATATAAAATCAGATTTAAAAAATCAGTTACAAAAATTAATAAAAATATTCGAACAAAACCATGAAAAACAAGATGAAACTAAAAATATAAACAAAAAATTAGAAGAAATAATTTATCTACAAGAAAAAAGTATTAAAGAAATGAAACAACACTCTGAAGAATTAAAAGAATATATTAAAACAATAATAGGATGACAAAAACTATAAAAGAAACTATAGAAAAATTAATTAAAGAAACCACTGTTGAATTAAAAGAATTACTACTAAATATAAAAGAAATACTCACAACAACAAATTTAATTACAGTTATAATAACAGACAAATTCAAATAACAAAAGAACTTAACGAAGCTAAAGAATTAGTAAACAATATTATTACAAGGAATAAAGGAAAAGAAATAATAGATCCAGATGAAAATGAAAAACTAAAAATATTAGAAATAATAGAACAGTTACAAGAAATAATCGAATGACTAAATCAAAACAGATATATCACTATAAAATATCTTCATAATTATTTTAAGAAAGAAGCAAAAGAATTAATTATCATTGATCAAACTAATCCTCAAATTAGATCACCACCAAAAATATAATGGAAGGATTAGATGATCAAATAGAAAAATTATCAACATTATTAGCTGTTCTTAATATACCCGAAGAACAACCTGATGAAACTGAAAAAATTGTCTTAGACTATAGTAGTGATGAAAATCCTTATGAAAACCCTTACGACAATCTTTTTTTAGTAAAAACAGAAAAACTAGAGAGGGGGAAACTAGTAATGAAAATGCACTACCTAGAAAACGAAAACATGATGAATATCAAGGATACAAGGATCATGAATACGAATTATATTAAAACCAATATATTCCAAAGGAAAATAATTGGAGAAAAGTCCCTTTTGAATATATTCCAAAATATGACACATTTAATGTAAAATCTTCATAAATATTAAATTTAGATTGTGAGATTAATCCAATCAGAACATTAGAAGATTGGAAAAATCGTACAAGTTTACTAATACAAACTAATAAGGAATTAAGAGAACTACACCCTCATGAAATGTTAAGTTACTTAGAACATAAAACAACATGAATAGTATATAACTACTTAAGAGGATTATCATCAGGAATAAAAGCAGAAAAAATCCTAAGATCAACCGCATGGGAAACATTTGTTAGACTAATGGACGTAATAGAGAAAGAATTTCTCGAAAGAACTTCTGACGCACAACTAAGAGAAACACAAATATCAGAAGCTGCATTATGGAAAATAGTAAATCTTAGAATTTGCAACATGTGCTATCTTGAAGCATTCATTTGCGAATTCAGAGATCATTACTATCAGCTTACAACATATAAGAAAATAGTAGTTGAAGAATTATTTTTTGATAAATTACCTCTATCAATATCAGAAGAAGTAAAAACTATATTCCAAAATAAAGTGAATGAAGGACAAACTCCCAATACTCTCGGAGGAAGAATAACAACATTAAAAGATTGACATTTGTTTCAATGTAATCAAGAAAAACGAAAACAAGAGGCAAAAATCGATAAATTATATTATGGAGTAATACCAGGACAAATAGGCAAATATGGTTGTGAATCTATTCGTAAAAAACATAAGAAAAAGAAATGGAAAAAAATTCCATATAAAAAATACAGGAAACAAAAATATATACCACAAAAATATTTCAGAAATAGAAAACAATACAAAAAGAAAAACTATGGTAAGAAGGACACATACTGCCCTTCTAAGAAAACGAATTGCAAATGTTGGCTATGCCAAGAAGAGGGACATTATGCAAATGAATGTCCTAAAAAAGGAAAGAAAAAGGAAACATAAATATTACGAATAGCATACGATATGAGCTTTGAACCAATCGAATCAGATTCAGAGTTCGACTCTAATATCGAAATATATGCATATACTACTAAATCATCCGATTCAGAAAATGAATAGAAAAATACTAAAATCAGGAAACACTAATGCAACATTTATACAAATAACTATTGAAAAGAAAAAAGGAAAAATGACATTTTCCTACACCAACTTTACAAAATTTGACCTTTTCCTACACGAATTTTTAATTTGACAAAAAACTACACCAAATTATCAAATGTGCCAAATTGATACACGAACTACCCGATTTAACTGCAATTTCCTACACAATCCGAAAACGGTGTTAAGTGTCCGTTAACCGCTGATGTGGCATGCCACATGGCGGCTGACGTGGCACGCCACATAGATTTTTTGCCACATCAGCATGCCACGTCATATTTTTAAAAAAATTCCGAAAAAATATGAAAAAAATCGATTTTTTTTTTAAATTTAAAATAAAATAAATAAACAGCAAAAAAAAATATACATATATATTCATATCTATATACAAATAAAAATATAAATATATATACAAAATAAAAAACATACACATATATATACAAACATCTATACAAATATATATATACATATACATACAAACAAATATATTTATATATACATATACATATATAAACACATATATATGTATATATACATATGCATATACATACATACATACAAAATAAAAAAAAATCACACACATATATATATAT